AAAAAAAAAAAAAAAAAAAAAAGGTGGCCTGCCAGGCAGGAGGACATGAGGGAGTGGCCTCATCAGATAATACTTTGTATTTTTAAATATAAGTCACTCTGGGTTTGAGCAGGCAAGAATAGAAGTGGAAAGACAAGAGCTTTGCATTGGCTCAGGTGAGAGATGATGGTGGCTGGGACTAGAAAGATGGAGGTGGAGATAGAGGGACTTGGATTATGTCCTAGAGATAGAATTGTCCAGTAGATGTGCCCAGCGAGAGGTATTTCATGAAGACCAGCACCCTGGATCGCGCGCGCGCATGGGTGTGTGTCTGTGTTTCTCATGAGACTCGAGGGCCCAGTATGAGCAGTGCCCTTGTGACTCAGAGGTGAATTGTCTGAACCAGACACAGGAGTCCAGATGCAGCCTCTGTCTAGAAACAGAGAATCTAGGTCCAGGAGCCACCCATCTTTTGAAACCCATCCTACTTACACAGTAACAATAACAACGGCCGCCATGGTTAACTGAGTGCTTCTCTGTGCTGTAGATACATGATCTCTAGCCCTTGCATCCACTTTGAAAGTAGATGTTGTCTTTATTCATCAGGACATGATGACTTTAAGTGACATGTTCCAACTTAAAGGACTTATTCCAAGTCACTCAAGTAGTAAATGGATTACAATGCAGGTTGTCTGATCCCAAAACCCATGTTCTCTCCCTGGGCCACATGACCTCCCCTGTAAAACCTTCTGTGACCATTCCATTCTTAAACGGGAAGAAAATCCTATAGGAATATGCTGAACTTCAAAATGTTTATACCTTTTTTCTCTAATTGAGATAAAGAACTGAAACAATAATTTTTATTAGGAATCCGGGAGTCATGAAACATTTAAAAATTCAACCTATTACCAAACCCATCTATAACTTATAACTTTACCAGCATGAGTCACATTGTTGTCACTGGTTTTCATACAAGGTTAAATCCGGAAGGTAATTTCCCGATATTGGGGCATTGGGAATGGACCGCCCAGTATCAATGCTACTTAGTACCCAGCAGGGGGCGCTCAATTCCTTTGAGAAAGTCTGAATCACAGGCAGCTCTTTGAGTAACTTTGAAACTGAGGATACTGAATCAATGTGGTGTTTTGCTTGGAAGTGATTCTGTATATGTGAACGCCTGGGATTCTGGCCAGCCACACTTGGACTGGGTGGGCAGCGCTAGTGGGCTCCTCACTCATGCTTCGTAGGAGGCCGAGTGAGGGCACATGGAAGGTTAGGGCACTTCAGCACTTTGTCTGCCTGTGACCCCAACTTGTACTCTTCATCAGACCTGGGGACTCTTTCATTAAGCTTTTTCCCCCCAGCTCTTTGTGTTAAATCATTTGGACAATGTAGTCTTCACCCTGAAACAACTGTTTTCCAAAGCTTCCTTTCTGGATTTGGCCCTGCTTTACCCAGTTAAATTCTTTCCCCAGTTCCTTGCTGTGAAACATGCCATCAGTGAACTCCTGTGGAAAGTAGTTGGGGGTGATGGGCTGGCATGGAAAGGCAAATGGGTGGTCTCTTGAGAAGGCTTCACATCTCATGGGCTTCCTGGCTCCAGGTGATGACCTTGGCCTTTGAACCTCAGCCAACAAGGACTGGTTTCATGGGCGTCCCACCCGTGCAGTCACACGGGGCCCCACACTCAGAAGGGCCTGCTGTGGTTGTCTCGAAACTCAGTAATTTTTTTTTTTTTTAGATTTTTTTATTGGGGAATTGGGGGAAGGGGAACAGACAAGTTGCTGTCATTTTGTTCTTCAATCTAGTTGTGGAGGACGTTGCTTCACTGGCCCAAGTTGGCACCATCATTGCGCTCTTCCCGGGCGAGGCAGATCAGTCGCCGGCTTCTGGACGGCCGCTCACGCTGGCTGCTGGCTACACACGGTAGCCCATGGCTACCCACTGCCACAGGGACTGCAGCCTATGCCGTCGCTGGCGACTCACGGCAGCCCAGCTCCAGGTTGAGCTGTTGTTCAGCATCTTAGCTGTGGAGGGCAGTGTCACTGGCCCTCATATGTGGGATCCGAACCGGGGCCCTCTGGCATCCCAAGCCAACTCTTAACCATCGCGCCACTCGGCCGGCCCAAAACTCAGTAATTTTTGTCAAGGGGTCCACATTTTCATTTTGCACCAGGCTCCATAAATTATATAGGTGACCCTTAAATCTATGGTAGCTATCTGTAGGGGTTCCCTATTGGACGGTGACTAATTTGACCCAGTAAATGCTCTCACCTTGGGAGTGAGAATTCAAGACACTGAGAATTGTCCTTCGGAGTGACAGAAAATCAGGCAGGCCCAGGAGACATGGCAGGAGAGAAGCTGGGGAAGACGGCAGGCTCACCGTAGCGTCCTGAAAGGTGTCGCCATTGCCGGAATTGTTTCCTGAGTTCAACAGAATCCCGTGTCATGCTTGCCACCTGAAAGCTAACTGACCCGTGGGGTGAGGGATAGGTATAGAAATGCCGGAAGTGCAGCGAGACAGACCTTGTGAACACCTAAAAGAATGTGAGGCAAGGTTATCACCCACCCCCAGGGCATGCCCTTGCCTCAATTTCATCTGGCTCTTAGCCAACTACTCTATGAACTTGCACTCTGTCTTCCTGGGTACAGCGATGCAGTTGTCTCAGAACAGAACCTCTGACTGAAATAAGATACAAGCAGCACAATTACAGAGCTGGGAACAATGGTCAATGCATCAGTTCATGAAGAGTTTCCACTTGGGTGTTTAATTTACCCTATCGTGTTGAACCATATTCTTAAAAAAAAAAAAAAAGTTTTATACGTCAAAAATAGTGACAACTTCCTATGGTTTTAGCTAATTTTATTCTTACCTAGAGCCAGCTGAGCACATATACACTCAAACACACATATACACACCACATACAAGAACCGGATTTTATGGGGAGAGGCGGGAAGCGGGCGAAGGGTGGAGGATTTGAAAACAACCAAATGACTCGAAAGGAAATGAGGGAGGTTGATGTACAAGCCCATCCCGGCTGTTCCATGCCTTCCCTGGTGACTCAGATCCCCTTTATCACGCTGCCACCACCCAAGGGCAGAAGGGGTTTTCCTCCACCCATGCTATGATTTTACCTCCACTCTCTTGGCATCTCTGCCATACTTCCTCTCACCTTCACCTG